GTCCGTTCCGAAATCATCATGATGCCCTGTGGTTAAGGTCTGGTTAGGTTTAGGCACAAAAACCACTTGGTTAGGGTCAGGAAAAGATCATGGTGTGGGTTAAAATGAAAAAGAAAGTGACAAACACATAAGCCGTGAGCCTGCTCCACCTCAAGCCTTTCCCAGCTGACCCAGAGCCAGTTGCGGCGCACCATATGCCCGCCACAAGCCATTAAGCACCGCGGACAGTTGGACTAATGGGATGTCGAACCAATGGGCTGTCGGACCAATGACATGGACCCGCAGAGGCTAACTGGCTGTGCTGGCAGCTGAGTGAAGTGGAGCCTGAGGAGGAAGCACCGGTTAGCCCCGGTTTCACTACAGGCAGATTCACTCGCCACAGGGGTGAGGAAATAAAACCTAAACGGCCAACTTAGTTTGCGATGTCTTTCACTCACTCTCGGTCTCTGCTGTGTCTAGCTATTTCCCTGCTTTCCTGTTAGTGTTAGCACTAGTTGGCTGCCACGCTAACGTCCCTACTCTTCTCTGTGAGCCAGAGTCGTGAGCCCGCGAGCCCGCCAGGCTCACGGAGAAGAGTAGGGACATTAGCGTTAGCACTAGTCGGCTGCCACGCTAACATTCCTACTCTTCTCCGTGAGCCGGCTCATGCAGAGTACCAGAGCAGCCAGAGCCAGAGCACTGGCTGTAGCCTTTTATAGGGAGGGAGGGCCAAGGGCTCCATCCACATGAACACACAGCCAGACCGGCTTGTAAACAAGGGGCTGGAGATCAACACAGAGATAGGGTGTGTGAGGTCATGCTATACTCCAGATGAAATTACACCTCTAGTTCTTCACNGGCTTGTAAACAAGGGGCTGGAGATCAACACAGAGATAGGGTGTGTGAGGTCATGCTATACTCCAGATGAAATTACACCTCTAGTTCTTCACATAGCAATTATTTAATTCCTTCAATCTAGAAATGATGAATTTCGCTTATTGCTCCTTTAAGGCAACTCTGAGCCTGTACAGCAGCACACAGCACTATTGAAGTACACTCTGAAAACTTTTTGTTTCTTATGTGGGGTGTTTTTTTTTGTTTTTTTTTTTTTGTTTGTTTTGTTTTGTTTTGGTTTTTTTTTAAATTGACGGTACTCTCGTCTTTTCTGCGCCTGACTTCCTGTTTGACTCATTTGGTCTGTGCAAATTGACATGCCGTCATGCGGCGTCCGTCAGAAATAGACCTGGCGCGTATTTTTAGCAGAGCGTAGCGCCGAGCTGCATCTAAGCCACAGCTGGTGGAGCAGCTTACATTGACTTGAATGGCAGCTATTAGCTCCAGCACCCGCGCCTCAGCCGGATCGCGCACTCCACGGATCCAGTTGGTTGTCATAAGTGGGCCTGTCCCAGAGGCATTCAACTACCAGAGAGCTTTTGAAATCCTGTTTTGAAAACCACGTAAAATTAAATCTTCTGATTCAGGGTGCAGTACTTGCAAATCAGGAGGAGGGAGGGAGGGAGGGAGGAAAGCAGAAATTTGTGTGTAATTAATTTAAAGCCACAGTGTGTAGGAATTTCTCCCATCTAACGTTGAAATCATATATTGTATTCAAACAGATGGCGCACTCTAGCACCTCACTGTTTCAAACGCGTATTGCAACACCTGTAGCCACTGTGTACCAAAAAGCTATGATAACACTGATGAAACCATGTCATCTGATACTACATGGAGTATTCATTCAGGCTCCTACACAGACACACGCGACGCGAGTTGACAAACCCCCTCCTCACCATGTTGGCTGTGTTTACAACGTAGGACTGTTGGGGCGGATGTAAATTGAAACAAACCGATCACGTCTTGTCCTTTGACAACTGACAAGTGGCTCAACCTCACACACCTCATCCCTCTCCTCGCATTACTAACAGCTGTTAGTGGCCAGTGGCACTACTGCCGCATAACAAAGTCCCACTCTTTGAGCATAATGCAGGGTCATGTATTATGCAGCATCACGGGAGACGGAATCCTCGTCGCCAAGAAAGTGAAAAAGGGAATCAAAAAGGCAGCGTGACCGGCGAATTAAAAAAAACAAGGGTCAGCATTGGGGTTGCCTTTCCCAGGTGGAGAGAGCTGCTGAAGGAGAAAGGTAATACAATCACAGGCCAGCGCTAACAGCGGCTAACAGCGGCGCAGTGATGCGAGGAGAGGGATGAGGCTGTTAGCGACTGGCCGCTAACAGCTGCTAACAGCGGCTAACAGCGGCGCAGTGATGCGAGGAGAGGGATGAGGCTGTTAGCAACCGGCGAATTAAAAAAACGAAGGCCCACATCGGGGTAGCCTTTCCCAAGTAGAGAGAGCTGCTGAGGGAGAATGGTAACTTAATGCAATCACAGGCCAGCGCCGCTGTTGGCTGTTAGCGGCCAGTCGCTAACAGCCTCATCCCTCTCCTCGCATCACTGCGCCGCTGTTAGCCGCTGTTAGCGCTGGCCTGTGATTGCATTACCATTCTCCCTCAGCAGCTCTCTCTACCTGGGAAAGGCTACCCCGATGTGGGCCTTCGTTTTTTAATTCGCCGGTCACGCTGCCTTTTCTATTCCCTTTTGCGCTTTCTTGGTGACAAGGATTCCGTCTCCCATGATGCTGCACATGCTGATCCTGCATTATCTGCATACGCAGTGCTGGCCTGGCTCTCAACGAAAACGCCGAAGGCGGTGCTGTATGTCCCTTGCTGGCGGGTGTATTCTCAAGATGGCGAAACGTAATGGAACCCCACAAACGACTTACCCGCACAATGTACAAACAAATCCGAAATTCTCCTTTTACGAGAATAAGTCAGATTATTGGTGGAGGTAACAGTACACCAGTGATGACATATTTATGAATGCAGACATCAATTTTTGCCAATAAACAACTGAAAATGTTACACAATGTCCCTTTAAGTGTTACCTTTTGTTTTCTTTTCGTATTGCGTATTTTGTATTGTTTTGCAATGTGTTTGTGAGTGAGAGAGTGTTAAAAGAATATTTTGTCTGCACATGATTTAAAATAATAAAATAGCCCTCCAGAGGCAGATCAGTACGTCAGTCATTTTTCTTGTAATTACTGAAATGTTTAACCACTAATCCTTAGCTGTATTTTAAGTGTAACCAGATTGATGCCTTTAAACCAAATATATACAAAATTTTGTCCCGGGGGAGCATGCCCCCCGGACCCTCCTACAGGGTTTGGAACAACCCCAAAGAATATGAATACAACATAGGCTGTATATTTTTTTAAGTTACCATGTGTTTGCCTTGCAATGATCTGTCCAACTGAGCGCAAGAAAACATCCAGCATTTTACTAATAGTGACCAGCAGGTGGCAGCAGTGCAGCAATAATCTGTAAAGCCAGGCTCTTTGGGTTTGTTTTTGTGGTGTTGATGCTGTTTGCAGACCACATGGCTGTGTATGCTGCTTTGTAGAATTTGGATTTAGATTTGTTGTTTTGACAGTGTTGTTTTTCTTATGTCCTTTGCCATGCAGGTTAGGTCAGGTTTGCTCATGAGATCCAGCGTCACGCTGCTGTTCAGCTCACATATGAATGAGTTTCTCTCTTTGGTTTGTCTCTCATCTGTCAGTGATCAGGTTTAAGCATTGCCTCATCGTCAAATAGGTCCAGCAGGGTTCGGATGAGTTCTACAGGGTCAATAAAGATGCATATGGATAAAAGCTGCTGGTAGCTTGTTAACTGCCCTTTAATTTGGAATTTGACCTCACAATTCATTCTCAAAGTGAATAAATACACCAACCGTCTAGTGTTGTCTCAGTTGTCAGAGGTGAGTTGTGATTATATTCCCAGTTAAAAGTAACAGGAAAAGTTGACAAAAGCAGAGATGAGGTGCAACAGACTGCATCTATTCATGCAAACCTTCCACCACAGTATCACATATACCACATGGTATAGACGCTAAGTCCCTTACATTACTCTGTGTTTCAGATTGTTTTTACATTTGTTTGCCATAGATGGAATGATCTATTAATCATGTCTATCCAAACTTCAACATTACCTTTTGGTGTTTGCTATCTATTTTAACTAGAAACAAAATAATTCATTTTCAGTGAGGCAGCATAGGTTGTGATGTCAAAGGAAAGCATCAGATATTAAGCGTGTGTGCCAAATGAGAGCTACTAACATTACTGACAGTTCATTATCAGGCACCAATTGTTAGCAATTCCTTAGTCACTAATGGCAAACTGCCATTCATAGGAGTGTAATGTTTTATAGATAGATAGATAGATAGATAGATAGATAGATAGATAGATAGACTTTAGCGTCTGGCCCGACAGTGACAAAAAATTATCCCGTGACAAGGCTCAACAATACACACTATTACATTTAAAACACATCTGAAGCAAATATTAAAGGGGGACTGTTAAAACAGCAACTGATAAGCAGGTTGAAGTGCAGTGTCTGTTTTAGATTGTTCAGGGTGGTTTTTGCAGAGGGAATGAAGGATTTCTTGTAGATGTTTTTCCGGGGCCAGTAGGACTTTGCAGTAATTGGAAGGAGTGGTGGAGAGGTGAGAGGGGTTTTCTGTGATCAGGGTGGCTTTCCAGATCAATGAGCAGTTATACAGATCAGATAGAGGAGTTTGGAGTGAGCTGATTATTTTGCTGGCCTGATTAGTTATGCGGGACAGTTTTGTGTTTGGTGGTGAGTGAGTTGTACCAGGATGAAATGTTGAAGGTGAGAATGGATTCAATGAATGAACGGTAAATGAGAGTTAAAATGTCACTCTGGTTTACCAACATGATAAGTCCTGAGTTATATATAGGCATATTGGATATCAGCAAAAAATCCAATATCCTGCATCCCTACTGTCAACAGATCTTTGGTATTTCTTTACTAAAATTTCTCATCAGCCATCGTCTTAAATATACGCTGGTGCAATATATCTTGGGAAATCTAAAATCAGCCAATATCTTCCATGCTGTCCGGTGCCAATGCAATGCACTGAGTCTGTCTTGTTTGTGTCCTTTCTCAGACTCCCACTCTGTTGCTGACTCCCAGTCCTCTGCTGTCCAACATCCACTTCTGGAGCACACTCAGTCCGGTCGCCCCCCTCAGCCCGGCCACACGACGCCAGGGAGCCCACCTGTTCCAGGTTATTACTGCACATTAGAGCGGTGGTTGTCAAGTGATCTCACTTTCGGACCCACATTTTCACATGGTCATTATAAGAATACTTCACCTGCAAAATGACTGTTGGTGTATCAGTTACTTACTGCATGTTATCCTGAACTGGTGAAGAAAACTAAGTTTGTCTCACATGCCTCCACAGTGAACAAAGAATCTAAAAAAGGAGAGCGTTCTTGATGAATTGAAGTAAACAGGAATGAGATTAACAACAGCAAAACTATATCAAAACATCTATTTACCCTCTCACGTAACTCACGCAGTATCATCCATGTCTCATTTATCCAGTTGTCAATCAATCAGTCAATCAATTTTATTTATAAAGCCCAATATCACAAATCACAATTTGCCTCACAGGGCTTTACAGCATACGACATCCCTCTGTCCTTTGGACCCTCACAGCGGATAAGGAAAAACCCCAAAAAAACCTTTAACGGGGAAAAAAAACGGTAGAAACCTCAGGAAGAGCAACTGAGGAGGGATCCCTCTTCCAGGACGGACAGACGTGCAATAGATGTCGTACAGAACAGATCAACATAATAAATTAACAGTAAACCGTATGACACAATGAGACAGAGGAACAGAGACAGAGAGAGAGAGAGAGATGCAGGACAGACGGTAATGGCAGTAGCTTACAACAACATTAATGAAAGTAATTAATAATAATATATTAATATCTGATAGTATACATGTGTGACAATAATCACGTGTATAATAACAGTAGAAGTATGACTAATGATAACAGCAGCAGCAGGAGGCATCTGGCAGGACCACGGCAGCAGCACAACCACACACGTCACACTATCCAGGCACCGCTGCAATACGAGTTAACCTGAGAGACAGTGGAGCGCAAAGGCTCCGGAGAAGAAGCCGAGTTAGTGACATCCAGAATGGCCGAGTTAGCAAGATGCAGTAAAAGGACACAAGAGAGAGAGAGAGAAGGAGAGAAGGTGCCCGGTGTATTATAGGGGGGTCCTCCGGCAGACTAGGCCTAAGTCAGCCTAACTAGGGGCTGGTACAAGGCAAGCCTGAGCCGGCCCTAACTATAAGCTTTATCAAAGAGGAAAGTCTTAAGTCTAGTCTTAAATGTGGAGACGATGTCTGCCTCCCGGACCGCAACAGGAAGATGATTCCACAGGAGAGGAGCCTGATAGCTGAAGGCTCTGGCTCCTTTTGGAGACTTTAGGGACCACGAGTAACCCTGCATTCTCCGAGCGCAGAGTTCTGGTGGGATAATATGGCACTATGAGCTCTCTAAGATATGATGGAGCCTGACCATTTAGAGCTTCATAAGTTAACAGTAGGATTTTAAATTCAATTCTGGATTTTACAGAATTTTTTACAGTTGTGTACTCTCCAAACACCCCAAGTGTGCCTGAGCACACACATGCATATAAGCTCCACTTGAGCAGAGTGCAAACATTTGTGTGTGACTAGGTGCACTACTCTGCAATGTCTGGGACTGTTAATACTGACGTGTTTTAAATTGTAATGTTTCCGTGAAAATGCATATAGTAAGAACTGAGCATTAGAGCCCATCTGATTTATCAGTCGGCCAATTTTATGAGGTGAAATTGGCATGTCGCAGTTATATTAGTATTGGCAAATTTCCCCTCTGTTGTTTATGCCAATATGACAATTTCATTTTCATAAAGAGACAACATGATACATAAGATTGATGTTTTTTTTTTCTTTGATGGTCCAGCAGGGTGCATTCATCAATGCATATGTTAGTACTTTAGTGATTTCTCTTTACCACTAAATTGTGAGGAAAATTTCTTTTTTTTGAGTTTTAGATTGCTTGAAAAAATAAAGAGATAGCTCCTGACAATGATAGATGCATTTCAGACAATACATACAGACACAAAAATCAAGCATTTTTAAAAGTCCCACATTTCTACCTTGAAATGACTTCTAATCTGAAACTTGAGGTGGTTACTATAAAAAATATATTGCTCAGTAATTCCAGACAATAATTGAAATATTTGAGTTCATGATATCTCTTTATTACATATCTTTGTAACAAGTACACACACACACACACACACACACACACAAACACGTGTATTAATATATACATATGTTTCCACCAAAATTAGTGTGTGTATGCAGGTTACTTAAACACAGGTAAACATGCTCAAAATAGGCTATAGACTGTTTTCCCAGTAGATGAGCAGCTCTGCAGCAGACAAGTATGCCTTTTTGTGTATAATGTGGGGTTTTTTTTGGTGTGTCACGGATAGGCCGCAGGACAGGTAAACAGTAGAAAGCAGCATGGAGGCCAGTGAAAACTTAATGGTGTCAATCGACCTGGTTGTGAATGCTGATTATAACCTTTCTCATCTTATTATAGAGCCAGATGTCAGCAGGTGTTAGTGGGTTTTTTGTGTTGTGGGAAAGGGGCTTATCTCTTTTTTTGTCTGAAGCGTCCTATCACATTCTGCTCTGTTTCAGTTTCCATCGGTCCTCACCCCTCAGTTCCAGATCCCTGTCCATAGTATGGATGGGACCAACACACCCGGCCCCATTTCCCCAGACCCTCAGAAGACATAGGATTAACCCCCACAGTATCACCGCATTTGGACCCAGATACCCTCCCCCCTCCTGCGCCATCTCTTGCTCCCACATCTAGGACAGTGATGCAGGAGCTCTATCATTGCTATTCCTCATCACTGCGGTGCTTTAAAGTTCACTGCCACAGAACTCACACTACAGTCAGACGTGTGGAGGGAGGGTCTGGACAGATGCTGGCCGTCCAGGTTTGATGGATGACCGTAACACACTGAGTTTGTTTCAGAATATTTACACCCTGAGGATGCTATCTTGTACTCATACACACTGATGCCATTGTTTCTAATGCACTTCTGGATTCATTTGGTCTGGCTTCTTGGGATTCTCAGTCACAACAGTTGCAAGGAGGGAGGAGTTTCCATGGCAACAGTTGGTGCATGTGGATTGGACCCTCAGCAGCGACAATCTTCTTCATACTTGGAGACACAGACTATTGGAATTGCAGATAACTGAATCTTTACTTTTGTAGAATTTCCTTCTTATCTTGTGGGACAGTAAAACTGCCAAAAACACACGTTATGTTCTCAGTTGCTAATGTGTTTCCTCCTCTGCTGACTATGCTTCTGTTCTTTGTTGTGCTCTGTCCTTAACTTTTACCCTTGTTGAAGGGTAGTGCTTTAACCTGATAATGTGCATGTTTACCTGCAGCTCTTTTATCTTGTTCCCAGCTCTCAGCCTCGCTTCACCTGCCTGAGTGTGTACCATTACTGCTCTGAAAGGTTGGCTAACTAAAGCCATATCCATCATGACTTTTACCTTGACGTTCTTATCGTGACATGTGGCCATAATCTGAGCTGAACCTTTAACCATGCCTCTACATAACTGTTCCTGTGTGTGTGTGTGTGTGTGTGTGTGTGTGTGTCTGTGTGTCTGTGTGTCTGTGTCTGTGTCTGTGTCTGTCTGTCTGTCTGTGTCTGTGTCTGTGTAGTACAAAATCCCTGGAAGCCAGTGTGGCCTGGTCTGGTTCCAGCAAGTAAGCATTCAGGTGGGAATGAAAGAAATAGAAGCCATAACCCTTTTTGTGCATCAGCTCTGCAAGCTGCAACGCATAGATCCTGTATTTGTTACTGCTGTGATGGCACCTTTTTAAATTAACTCTGCATTGTTAAAGGTGGTCATCATGTTAGGGATTGACATTTTGGAAAATACACTTAATTGCTTTCTTGCTGAGAGTTAAAGGGATAGTTTGGATGCTCCTAGTTTAGAGAAACAGGCTAGAGTACTGAAACAGAAGCTAAGCAGTGTACTGCTGTTGATGGGGATGGCAACAAAACGCATTTAAACCACCTAAAGAAAATTCCCACCTTAAACAATCAGTATCAGTTAAAGGGTTCCCATGGTCATGGAAAACCTGGAAATGGCATGAAATTTCTCAATCTCATTTTCAAGGCCTGGAAAAGTCATGGAATTAGTAAAAAATCATTTAACGTTTTGGAAAAATTATGGAATTTTGTTGTGTAATGAAATTAATTCTTACAGTATTCTTCTATAGAAAACCTTCCACGGCTACTCTACCAAGGCTGAACAAGTATACATTCTTATGTTGCCACATTGCTTTTCACTCTTGCATGTAGAAATGAGTTTATAATCAGATGGATCAAGAATTACAGTGATAGTGTCATTGGCTCTCCAGACCGCAATTTCTGATGGAAAACTGAAGCAGTTTTATCGCTCTTTTCAAAGCAAGACTCATTGAAAAAAACAGCGATTTAACATTGCTGAACACAGGAGCTGCTGGTCTACCACTGCATCAAACTGTTTGCTGTTGTTGTTGTTGTTGTTGTTGTTGTGAAACTTTGGTGTTTAAGTGGTTCATTCGTATTCACCAAAGTTACACAATAACACTAACTAACTAACTAACTAACTAACTAACTAACTAACTGATTGAAGCAGTAGACCAGCAGCTCCTGAGTTCAGTGAGCTAAAATGTTTATCTCAATGGAGCCTGGTGGCTTTGGTGGGAGCCTAGATCAGATGGGAACTGAAGCCATTAATGGCTTCCGCATCGGAACGGGTTGTCTGACAGAAAGGTTAAGTGGTGAAAATACTCACAATGTAGTGTACACTTAATCTTTTATAGATTTTTTTTTTTTAGGTGGGACTGTTTTGTGGGTGGCTAAAATATGTTTTGCTGCATACCCCAACCACAGCAGAACATTGCTCAGCTACCCTTTCGGCACTCCTGTCACTTCTCTAAAACGAGGGCGTACTGACAGACATCTAGTATAGGTATTGCTGATTATGGGTAAGTAACCCATACAACCTCACTTCCAAAAATATGAACTATTCCCATAAATAAGATCAGTGCCACTCTAAATATGTAGCTGGATGCTAATAAGCAGCTTATTAGCTTAACTTAAACAGGGAAATGGCTAGCCTGGCTCTGTCCAAAGGTCCCAAAATCTGCCTGCCAGCACCTTTAGTTCACCAGTTGACATTGTTTATTCTGTGTAAAACCAAAGCGTAAAAACATTAGTTTACCATTTAAAGTAGTGTCATGAGATATACTGTTTCTTAGCTGGGAGCTTCCTGGAGTCTCAGAAAGTGCTTGCACAGTACGTTTCCACAAACCATGACTATGTTATGTTGGCACGTTTCATAAGTATCATATCAATGTTTCTAAAGTGACGTAGTATATGAGCTGACTTTGTCATCAGGAGATGGAAAGGATGGTGGATGGCATGTCATGCCTACCAAGCTGCAGACCACTGTTCAAGACCAACATACAATAAAACTGATTGTGATTTAGCCAGTCATTGCTGTGTTTCCAGCAACATTTTAGTCCTCAGATGTGGGTGTTTTTAGTGACCTGTCACTGTGTTTCTAGCGGGGATAGTGCCATGAAAAGCAGTTGCTTTTTACAGAAGAGACATTGCTGCTGTTTGCTTGTTGCCTGCTTGTGGCCAAGAAATAGTTCCAGCACACCACAACTTGTTTTTACACGGTAACATGTCAATTAGTGAGCCTTGGAGGTGTTTTAAGATGTATTTTATTGCCTTTGGACCAAGCCTGACTAGCCATGTCTCTCTGTTTCCCCTGTGCCGGTTCCAGCTACATATTTACGTGAGAGAAATATCAGTTTTCTCATATAACTTCGGGCATGTATATTTCCCAAAATGTCAAACTATTTCTTAAAGTACAATTTGATCTAAAGCTGGACAGAATAATTCCTTATGAAGCAGAATCAAACCAGACCTTGAAGCTTTGATTATTGTCCACAGGTCGGCTCAGTTGTGTTTGTTATAAACAAATAGGCTCTGATTGTTGTTGTTGCTTGCAGCGTCAGTGCAGTTCTTTGATCTCAGACTCAACTTCCAAATCTTAGTGACTAGACTCTGAACAGTCTAGCCTTAACCATTGCCAAGCCTTAGCCATGTGAAACCCAACAACCTTTAATCCTGAGGACTGTAGAAACCCTCTGGAACATTGAAGCACCTTCCTCACCCTAAAACCCCCAATCCTCCTCCAGATGATCAGCCATGAAAGGTTTACACTTGTTTTTGTAAGTGACTTTGAAGCCATAAGTCTGAGACACAGACTCAAGAGGTAGAGCCACATTTCTATGCTAATATATGTGGAAATTGTACATCATACTTGTTTACATGATACTTGGTTAGAACACGCTTAGGTGGTTCTTTACTTAAGTGTCCCTTTCTGACCCAGGGATGGATGACCAGCAAATCTTGTGGTCTCATGCTCATTTTTACTCAACTAACAGACAGCCCCCTCAGCCTACAGTCTGTCACATTGATATATGGTGCCTTACCACAGCCAAGCCCAAGTTTAGCTCCCACATGTGGATGGAGTTGTATCATTTAAAAGTTAGCATAGAACTAATGAAACACGACAGCGTTCCTGTTTGTTTTTATGCCATATCTTTGCATAGACCAAACCAGACCCCCAGAAGTTCTGAGTCAAACTTCACAGGGATGTTTTGTGTGTGAATACACTGCAGCTCATGCGTTCTGCCCAAGATTATGTATTGCAGGACCTTTAATGTGCTGCAGTGTTCTCCGGGATGTATTCATGTACATACAGACAGCACATGGGTTATTATTCAGAGCATGTAAATCTAATGAGGCCAGTTGGCAGCCATGTTTCTTCCCAACCTGCTTATAAATGTTTGTGTTAACAAATTTACTCAGAAAGTATATGAATATAAATATAAATTAAAAAATAATAAACAGGTT